ACATATAATATATACATCCTTCATCCTCACAAGTTCCTTCACACAAATTTGTTTTGAAATTAATGTTTGGTCAGATAGTGCTAATTACCAAGAGCACTGGGTGTACCTCTAGAGCAGTGGTTCTCAACCTGTGTAACCTTAGGACTCAATTTGTCCTTGGTCATCAAGTCGCACTGCACTGGAACGCAGGGCATTGCGTACCACATGTTACAGTGAGAAAGATCCAACTGTTGGTGGGAGATGCATTTGGGGTGCCATTCAAATGAATTGAGAATGTGCGTAGGTACGATGGCGTGATACAGTGCGTCAATCACACAGGACTGCGCGATTAACATACTGTACTACTGTGAATGAGCCCTTAAAAACACTGACAGACGCACACAACCACAGACACAATTTCACACACACAGATCCACCCACTCTCCCTATCTTAAGAGAATTGGAGTGGATTCTCAGCCTGGGATCCAGTGTGGGCTTCTGTGCCGTGATGGTGCTCCAATCCATGTGCATTGCTTGTACAGCTCCCTTGTAGAGGTGCTGGGAGCCAGAATGTTATGTCACTCCGGTCCAGGCACCTCTATAGGGCACGTGAGGGAGCTATAAGCAATGCACATACGGTGGAACTTCCTCGCTGCCATACCCCTAGCCCACCCCACTTAAAGCTGACAAGCGCCAGACATCATATTTTGAATGGCTGTGCAGCGTGAGAACTGACAGTGTTGCGCTAGAGCATGGCTGGGGAGCCTCTCACCTAGCACAGTGGAAGGCACGCAGCAACCTACAGAACATGGGGTTGCGACCCACCAGTTGAGAACCAAGGCTCTAGAGCCCGGTGAAATTTAGACACCCTGCACAACAGTGGAGGCAAAGCTGAAACCAGATGTACTCAGTACAATATCTGTTTAATTGCACATTTCGGAGACCTTGATATTATTTCTCCAAGTCTCTATTATTTCTCTATGTCCCGACTGAAAAGTAGTCAAAGAATACGGTGCTTTAAAAAGAAAAAGCTCCCCTATAATAGTCAGCCTTTGCTAAGCAGGTACAAAGCATAAGTAATCACATTGTAGAACCACCAGAGTCCCTTATATGCCTGATCTGTACAAGGAAGGAGCAGCCTTTGCATCCTTTAGAACCCCTTGCCTTAGATAGATGGAGCAGATAATATAATTTTCAATGGAGAAGATAATATAATTTTCAAAAGACAATGGAGGGTACAGGGACTAATTGGGCATGTCATTAATTACCTAAAGCTAACTTACAAAGATCCCACCTCCTTTTTCGTACTGGAATATATGCCCTCTCCTTCCAACTAATTTAGAAGTACAGGAGAATACAAAAGGTTGCACTGAACTTGTACAGGCCAGGCAGCTGAATTAACAGTTTCGGCTTTCTAAAAAGGTATAGGTTTAATCTGAAATCTTTGCAGCATACATGCCCAATGCATGAGAGCCTTTAATTATTAAAGTACAGTAATCCTTTAAATCATTTATTAAAATTCATTAGTGCATACATTTTTTATAACAGCAGTATGGTTGTTAAATTTCCATACTTCTCAGGAAAGGGAATACTTTAATACTGACCTAAAGGATAAAAGGAAATGAAAATCATTTAGGCAAATAGACAGACACAGATTGGCAGCAAGCTGAATGGTAGATGGTCTTCCTGAAAAGAAAACTAGTCTATGCAACTAGCCTGAATTAAAATAATGACCTATTCCATTCCAATATTTCCTTCATCCAGACACACAATAGATCTATTAGAAGTGCAGTTCTTGTAACTTCAGAAACAGTCCTTCATTGTTATGGAGAATAATGAGAACTTCCTCCAGTCACAGTGTATGACAAGATGATGTTGTGCTGATGTTGTTCTTGATCAAAATTCTACATTTATTCTTTCTGCAGGTAAAATAAGACAATAAATATGGATTGTAATTTAAAACAAAAAATACTTGGAACATACTAGAAAATCAATAAAAAAGCAACGAGTATGCTAGCACCAAAAACTAACATCTGTACTCATGTCCTAAGCCACCACTCAAATAGCAAGCATCTTTGGGCACCTTTGGCCAATTTTTTTCTGCTCGCGCGCGCCCCCTATCCCCAAAAAAGGGTATAAAATTCATTTCAGTACAGCGCTGCATGACGGAATAAATGTCAGTTAAAGTACCGCAGCGCTGAATACTGAAAAATGGCCTGGATGGGAAGGGGGTTTAACACCGCGGATGTCAACTGGTTAAGTATCTCCAAATAGGTTGTAGAGAGAGTATACTAGGTGAAGTTGGAGCCCAGAGTTGCATCTCCTGCACGTTTATGTCAGCTCATCGCTGTAGGCCACTTTACTGACCATCAATGAAAAATGGTAGGGACCGTTGTAAAGCGCAGACATCTAGAAGCCAATGCTTTTTTTTAATAACAAAGCATTCTAGGTTTTAGGGCACACGTGTCAAACTGAAAGGCCCAGGGGCTGAATCCGGCCCACCAGACCATAATGTTGCAGCCCACAATTAAATTGAGCTTGACACCCCTGGTTTAGGGTTACCATGAAACCCAAGAACATATCTGAAGCTACCCAAAAACATTAGGTGCGGTTGATACTTGATAAAAGTGGCAGTAGGATTATTTTATAGGAAGTAAAAATATGCTTTAAAAAAGGATCCATTATCTACTAGGTAGAAATCTGAATATTCAGTCTTACATTTTACAACTGTTGTTATCTAGGTTTTAGACTCTGTTTGTTTACCAAACCTGACACTTAAGCTCAACCACATTAGTTGCCATATTTTTTATCATGACAGGGTCCTTTTAATTCATGACTTCCAAAAAATGCTAGGATCCCAATGATCAAGCAAGGTATAGAAATAGGATGCCATACCCTTGATGCAGATTTTGACTTTATCCGTAGGAAGGAAGATACTGTATTACTTTCCTTGGCTTCAAAAAAATCATTATAATCCTGTTAAAAAACCAACAAACACTTATTAATACACTTACACAATTACATATATTATTAAAATGTGAAAAACAAAAAATGTTATGGTATGAGTGCAAGGAACTGAAAATGACTGGAAGGTAAATCCCCTAAACCAGGATTTATGTTATTCTTCCATCTGTTTGCCATTAATGTAAGCTATGCAAGATCAGGCAGGCATCCGCTACATGTTTAAAGATAACCAGACTGACAACTGTTCTTTACTAAATCTACAGCCAGGGGTGGGTGTGCAGCAGCGATTCTTGGCTGCAGAATAGTGAAATCAAGACCATGCTATCAAACACAGTCCCTTAGAGGACATGCTATTCCCTTTTACACATTTCACCAAAACACAGCTCTTCCTCTATCTGAAATGTTCAAAACACTGTCTTTCCATAATAGTGAGAATTACTTTGGTATGTATATTAAAATCTATTTAAAACACATCCCTGCCTTGACAACTCTGCATTCTTAGTTACAAGTATATCATAGGACTCTATACAATTGTTGGAGCAAATACCTGCAGCTGGTGTTGGCAGGTAATATTTACTTTCTCTGTCTTATTTGCTTCCAGGAAGGAATCCATCATAACCAATAAATCATTTAATCCAGGGTTGGACCAATACCAGTAGCCAGTGCTTAAGAATTAAAGCCGGCGGCTAACTTTTGAGGTTTTCTCTAGTTGTAGTCAATGAAGCTGGCTCCTGGATTGGACAGACTGGCTCCTGAATCCCATATTAATTTGTCCACCCTTAATTTAATCTTCCATACAACAGTATAGAAATGTTAAAACTGTAGATACTATACATCTCCAACAGTAAGAGCTACAATAAAAACCCACCACCTCAGCTCAGCCCCTAGTGCATTCCAATAACTACTGCTACCTGCATCTGAGGCACACTGAGTGCAGGTATTATCACAACAAATACTTTCAGAAAATATAAAATGTATAAATACTCTCAATATAGAAATTACAAAAAGAAATTCACACAGTCTTTTCCTATACTTAGATCCGTAAATTAAAAAAAGAAATTTAAAAAAAAAACACTTTACCTTTTCTCATCTTATGAACTTTTTTTCCCTCAGTAGTCATATTCTCTCTTGCATCCTTGAAGCCAGTCTAATAATCCATACTTTCCAACATAAAACACTTTGAAAACTTGTTCTGTACAAATATATTCTCAGAGAAGAACAACAAACCTAAAACTCACTTATAATGCTGGAAGCTCAGGAAAAAGTGTAAACAAACACAGTATTGACTGTTATATTTGGATCACGTTAAAAAAAAAAAAAAAAAAAAAATCCTTTTACACCTTACACCATATTAAAA